GTCAGGAGTATAAAATATGGAGGATTCCAGATATCAGTTTATTTCTAATGCCATGTTTAAAAATATTCATCTATTATAAAAACTTATTTATATATTAATATAAAATTGCTAAGTTAAGTTGCTACTACAGTTAGTTTTTGCTTTATTAATCTAATCACTGGTTATATATTTAGAAAACATAATTTTAGGACTTCCTACAAAAATAATCTTAATTAGGTGGGGCATCATATTTACTATGGAAACAGCAGTATGTAATAAATGCTAACAGCTGTTCAGAGGTATGACAGATGGTGGGTGAATGTTTAAAACTTAGTTGTCAGAGTTTGGCAGAGATAAATGCATCATTTAACAATGTTTTATAACACTGCTGACTTACAAAATAAACATTTATTCTGTAATAAGAACGTTTCCACAAGAAATTGAAAAGACTGAGAGCCACCACCAAGTAACATCTGCAAAATGCTTTTTAATCTAAAAAAAAAAAAACTCTCAACTTTTCAGTACATCAAAAAAGCATCCATCATCTGACTATCCAGTGTATCGCATATAAGTTCCAACCCAAAACTGATTCAAAACATCATTAAAAGACACAACTACACTTAAATAGCAATTCCCAAGAAAGCCTAGTTAAGGAACAGGGCAATACTTCATTATTCTATTTTAGATTTGTGTAATTTGCACTCATGCCTGAAGAATCACTTCAGGGCAAAATCAGTTTTCCATGCTGTACTGGGCTGAATACTGTTCTCTAAAAATTTGTGTTTACTTGGAACCTCAGAATGTGACCTTATTTGGAAATAGGGTCTTTGCAGATGTGATTAGATGAGGTCATATTGGATTAGGATGGGCCCTGTGTAGACACAGAGTCACACATACAGAGGAGAACTCCACGTGAAGATGGAGGCAGAGATTGGAGTGATGCATTTATAAGCAAGAAATGCCAAGGATTACAGACAACTACCAGAAGCTGGAAAAGGCAAGGGCGGATTCTTCCCTGGAGACTTTGGAGGGAGCATGGCCCCGCTGACACCTTGATTTAGGACTTCTGGCCTCTAGAACTGTGAGAGAATAATTTTTGTTATTTTAAGCCACCCAGTTTGTGGTGTTTTGTTATGGCAGCTTTAGCAAACTAACACACATGCCAAACTGTATTGTACTAAAATTGATCTCTATATTTCATATACAGACTATCTCTGAACTAGTGCTTTTAATTTCTGAAAGTAGATGTACTGGAATAAGCTGAGCCAAGCACAGCTCCGCCTTGAGCCTCTTTTGTTTTTTCCCCACAAAACGAGGAACAGCATGTGTGTGCCAGGTGGAACTGGTTGGATAGCACATATTTAGAGATTCTGAATCTATTTCTAACTACAGATTAAACTAGATATATTTTACTAGCATTCAAATCAAAAAGCATTTCCCCCCTCAGTGGAACCACTGTATTTTCCTTTTGTTTTACTGTAAATTCTTTCAACCTGACAGATGTTTTGTTTTCTCCAAACAAATGCTAATAATGTTTCTTTGAATTTGGAACTTCTTACTGTTTTAAAGGCATGACTAGAAAAAATAAAGTACTTGATGATCTTTAGTTTTCTGTAGGAACTTAATCCTATTTCTTTTTGTCAGCTTAAAAATTATGGCCTCAAACATAGCTATTGAGAGTGTTACTGAATTAACAGGAATTATTTAATATAATAAAATATTTCACAAAATGGCTCAGTGGGATTAAGTAACAATAAATCCATGGTCCACAAAACTGACAGTAGGTGTCACTACTTAGAATCCTTAAAAAAAGTATCGATGTTGATTCTGTAAAACAAAACAACCCAAATCCAAGCTCAGGATATGGAACATTAGAAATGGTCAAAGTTTGAAAAGCTTCTTCTCAAGAGTTGGTTATACCATGTTCCTTTATTTTGCATACCGCTGAAAAAATTTTTAATGATTAGTTAGATTTGTCTATGTGGCAGCCACTTGAATACTTCATTGATTACATTATTGAAATGTAGCCTGTTGGCTCTGAAATGAGATTAATGAACCGTATTTATGGGCTGTAGATCATGAGGGTATATTCTAATGAAGGCTTATGTCATTCATGATTAAGCTTTCATTGAAGGGCAGCTCAATTTGGATCTTTAGACCTAAATGCATTCCAGTACTGCCCAGGGAAAGCCTTACGGTCAGTCATTTCAGGAGGGGACTGGGGTTCATGTGTAGCATTTAGCACTTGTCTGTCAAATTCTGCAGACATGGCGTCTTTTTATTGGGCACAGCTTGTTTTCAGGCCATCAGCTTCTTTCCAAATCAAGATGCACTGACAGGGCAGATGCTGAAACTGCAGATACACCTTTAAGTTTATAATTCATAAATATCCAAAAGAACTTTAAGCATGTTTTTCCTCACTAAAATATGAGTCATTTTTGAATATGTAACAATGTCTACCCAAGAATGAAGCAGTTATTCAAAATAGGTGTTTTCAGTGAGGTCTGAGAAGTTTAGCATTGGGCAATAACTGGTGCTTGGCTCAGCTCCAGTCTGTGTCTGACCATCTACTCCTCCTTGTGGTGCGCTCAGATACCTTGTTACATTAGTAAGAAATACAACTGCAAAAACCAGTTTGGGCTTCTCTGGGCTTTTAAATGATGAAAAGCCTTGATCTAAAGAAGGTTAGTAAATCTTAGCAAAGACTTAACCACTTATTACACTGAAATAAACCCAATCTCCACGCTCTGCTGCAGTTTCTTTCATATATCCCAGAGACTAATTCGAGTAAGGGGTATACTTTCTATGGGAAATTCACAATTGTGAAAACTTTCTGAATCATATGAAGCAGTGATAGAGAACAATAGATATTAAAATAGTCAATGAAAAGAGGTCAAACTTTAATTCAAATAACACATAACAAGAATGACAACCATGATGATGATGATGATGATAGAGGAAGAGAAGGAGAAAGAGGAGGAATGCTAGGAGCTATCCACAAAATAGGATGAATTTTGAGGGCTTATGGTGCCCAAGGAAAGTAAGTTATTTGAAGTAAACTTAATCTGAAATGTCCTCAAATTACTTGAGATAAATTATACTAAAGAGAAGAGCCATTTTCTTATCTTCCTGAGCACATTTTAGCTTTACTGAGGTATAACTGACAAACACAATTGTAATATATTTAAAGACTATATGATTTGTTAAATGTACACATTGTGATAAAATTCTCACAATCAAGTTAATTAACACATCCATCACCTCACATATTTATCTTTTAATTTTTTTTGGTGAGAACACTTAACTTCTACTCTCTTAGCAAATTTCAATTATAAAATACAGTATTATCAACTAGAGTCACTATGTTATACATTAGATCCTCAGACCTTATTCATCTTATAACTGAAAGTCTGTACCCTTTTACCAACCTCTCTCCATTTCCCCTACCTCCCCAGCCAGGGGCAAACATCATTCTACTCTATTTTCATGAGTTCATTTTTTTTTTTTTTTTTGGGTTTCACATATAAGTGATACTATGCAGTATTTGTCTTTCTCTGTCTGGCTTATTTCTCTTAGCACATTTTAAAACTATGTTTCCCAGCTTTCTTGCAGCTAGGTAGGCATGTAACTAGTACTTGCCAATGGAATACGGGCAAAAGTGATATAGCCCCCATTTCCAACCTTGACCCTGCAAAATTTTTCATTTTCTTGCATTCGCTGGCTGTGTGTAAAGAATGCAGCAGAAGATTCCAAAGCCCTGGTGGATGGGAGAACCACACAGTAGAAAGCCTGAATCCCTGAATGACTATATGGAAGAGACCCCCTTCATCTACCTGTATTAGACTGTGATGTGAGCAAGAAATAAAATATAAAAAAGCCAAATTAATTAAAATTTTTTGATGATTATTATGATTTGACTAAATTTATGGAAAGAAGCAACTGTTAGATACCTATGACTGTACTTAGTGTGAAGTTGATACATAATGCAACACTCTTAGCTTAGTTTTTCCCTAACTAGTCCTCATCAATTCGAGAGGATTGTGAATAAATGTTCTGTGCCTCAATTAGTTTGAGAAATGCTCTTAAAGTTAATCAGGTTTCTTTGCTATAGGACGTCTCAGAGGTGTTAATATACTAACATCCATTGTAAATCTGTACGAAAGGAATAAAGAAAGTAGCATTTCCCAAACTTATTTAGTTGATAAATAATTTAACTAATAAATTTAAGATCTACTCTGCATTCCCAACCCCACCGTGGCAACACCCACCACTATCTCCCAGAGCAATGTTCTGTAGAACACATTCTGGGAAATTTTGCTTTAATTTGATTTGTATCATATGATGGATTGATCAGAGTTGGCACCAAAAGTTCTAGGCACCCCAAAGCAAATATCGTTCTCTTATTAAGGGAAAGTTTTTCTTGTAAAAAGACTAATATGTACTAAGAAAGTTTTCACTGCTTAAGTGAACCAAGTTCTGTAAGAAAGGCATTTTACTAAAATGTGATTGATATAAAGGCAGATGTGAACTGTTATCTTCTGATTTTTTTTGTATCTCAATCTGCTGTCAATGGAGCCTGTCATATTTAATGATGGAGTATATTCTTATGTTTTAAGAAGACACTAAATCTATGAAAACTGGCAATATTAAATATGAAATGTGAATATAGTCCCTTGTATAATATCGTATTTGCTTTTGTTTCTCCTATAACTCATGCTTAAGGTGCAATGTTTTAAAACAATGTTTAAAGCAAAAAATAATCACAGCTAAGATCAATGGGTTCTTCTACTAGAAATACACACACATAATTTTTTTCACTGTGACTTGTTAGGCTATATTGCATTAGTGCTATATACAGGAATATTACCTTATTTCAATTATGAATCTGTGATGATTTCCCACATTTCTCATAGACTTAAGACAACTGAAAAAGGACTGTTACGATGGACATCTGGAAATTCATGTAAAGTAAAAGGGTATGCTAAATATTCAACTTACCAAAAAATAATAAAAAGACTTACATCTAGTAGTGTGTGAAGATGCTGATCCTGGAAAACACTGTGCAGAAAATCTAAGTCCTTTTCACTGCAGTCTGTAAGTGCGTGAATTTCTTCCAAGCTGTCTAGCACCTGTGAGACTGCTCCTAAGGGGAACAGAAAAGAAATAGCCAGTACAGAAAGTCAATCAAACTAACCTTTGTAACCTAAATCTTGCACTTCAGAACAATGAACCAACAAACAGAACTTCGAAGGTTAGTGTCTTTAGTGAAGGAAACACTTAAATGAGTTTCATATCACTTAAGGATAGAGTATTTTCAGTGAGTTTATGTTCTTAATAATGTATTGTGTGCTTCTCATTTTTCAAAGTAAAATGAAGCTTGTCTAATGTGAATTAAGGCAATTCATACACTCTACTTGAGTTAGCGGATCTGGGTGCGGCAAGTTATACATCAGAAGAACGTGCGTTCCATGACCCCAGAATGTTTTGAAATATTACAGAAATAACACAGATGAACCTTTCATACAGATGCATTCCTTTAAGAACTGAAGGTAAAGCCAGCTGTAGATCTGAGGGACAAAACTTCAACTGCGAGCTCTTGTGGTGTAAAATAGGCTTCTTAGGATTTTAAAGGCTCAGACTTAAGTTAACAAATATCCCAGTCTCTTTTTTTCTCCTTCCTTAACATACAAAGTCATGAGAATCAAGTTTTTCTCAGTCTATTGGGCCCTTTTTATTCAGAAGACAAAGACAAAAGGTAAGTATACTGACCGACACTTCCAAATACCATATTAATTATTAAGGAAAATCATTTTTGCAGAGCAAAGCAAATGGTAGTGTGGTCACTTTCTTTAAATTTCCTTTTATAACCAGGAATCCTGAGAGGTATCAGCAGGGAAAGACACATGTTGAGTAGTAAGAAAGTCACTTATACAGTCTTAAAGAAAGGATTAGCCTATTTTACTCTGCAGACAACATGTACATACATACTCCAAGAAAGAAAAGAACCCAGAGACGAAGCTTCGGAATATTAGTACATACGATGTTAGAGTAATTCTAACAATAAGTGCCTCATTGCACATGTAAGTCTTGGATCAGTAGTTTTCAACCAGCAGCAATTTTGCCTTCTGGGGGACATTTGACAATAGCCAGTGACATTTTTGGCTGTCACAACAGTGGTACTGTTGTGGGGGAGGAATGGGTTGTGCTACTGTCATTTAGTTGGCAGAGGCGGCCTGGGATGCTATTAAACATCCTACAATGCCCAGGACAACAGCACCCCACCCCCCCGACCCCAAGAAAGAATTATGCAGCCTAAAATACCAATAGTTCCAATGTTGAAAAACTCTGTTTAGATAAAGATAAAAATCTTAACTTTTTCTGGTCTGGAACTCTATGCTATTTCAAATTACTTCTGTTCTTGGACCTTATCCATTTGCATGCACTTACTGGTGAGAATGTAAATGAGTACCACTTTTCCAGACACAATCTGGTAACATATATCAAAGAGCCCTAAAAATGCTCATGTACTTTGATTTAGTAATTCCATTTACAAAAACTACCTTAAGGAAAAAATGAAATGTAGAAAAAATGTATAAAGATATTTATCACATAAAATGAAAAATATTTAATAGAAAAAGAACATAAATTATAAACATCCATATGGCGTATATAGCCAAATAAAAATTGCTTTTGAAGAATTTTGAAGACATAGAAAAATCCTCATGATATAAAATTCAAGAAGGCAGAATACAAAACCATATAAACTTTATATTCTCAATTTTCATTAGAAAAAACATATATACACAAACTCAGGAAAAAACCCAGAATGAAAAATACCAAAAGGATAACAGTAATCTTTATTTTCCTATTTATACTCAATTCTGTTCTTGTCCATATGTTCCAATTTTTCTACACTAGAAAAAAAAGTTGCTATATAAGCAACTGTTTTTTGTAGTATTATTTAATTATGTTAAAGATTTGGGGCTTAAGCCACAAATCAAGTAATTATCCATGTGCAAGTAACTGTGGCTAATTTAAAAAACTGACTTATTTTGAGACAACTGTAGATTTACATGTAGTTGTAAGAAATAATAGAGAGATCTCATGTACACTTCACCCAAGTTCCCCCAATGGTAGCATTTTGTGCAAAATGTCATACAACACCACAACTGGGATACTGACATACAAGTCAAGCTACAGAATATTTCCATCACTACAAGGATCCTTCCTGTTGACTCTTTACAGCCACATTCATTTCCCTCCTATGTTAACCTCTCCTAACTCCTAACAACTGCTAATCTGGTATCTATTTCTATAATTTTGTCATTTCAAGGATGCTACATAAGTGAAACCACACAGTATATAATCTTTTGGGACTGGCTTTTTTGACCCAGCATCATCTCTGGAGATTCATCCAGGTTGTTGCATGGATCAACAGTTCAATCCTTTTTAATGTTGGGTAGTATTCCAAGCCATGGATGTATCACAGTTTGACCATTCATTGTTGATGGGACTGTGGATACTTCTTAATTTTGAATAATTACTCCTACCAGGCTATTGGTATTCTTTCACTGAAAACATTAAGTCGATATTAAGTGGGATCAAAAAAGGTACAAGGCAGAAATCAATTCATATTTTCTCTGCTATTCCTGAAAAGATATTAACCTAATCTACTTTCTTCTACCTGCTCTTCTCAGTAGGAAAAACCACAGAAATTAGTTTAAAGCCGGCTCGTTTATCATCCCTTATTTAAAGCCTTGGAAAGCAAGAGACGATATGAAGAAATTAGTCCCAAGTGTCCCACTGAACCCCTGATACGCAGCACATCATCAAGAGTAGAATTTAATGGTACCAGGTTTATAAAATTACTAAAGCCAGTTCTAAACTTCTGTATTTATGAAACCACAAGAACAAAAATACTAGTGAAAAAATTCTTTTGTACATTAAAAAAAATCAACAAATACCAAAGAAACCTAGTTAATATTTTCACTCAGTTATCTTAGTGAAATCTGATCTAGTTTTTATTGTTGTTTTCAGCATCAATGCTAGTATATAATCCAGGTAGCAATTTATTAATACTATAAGATTAAAATAAAACAACCTTGTATCTAGCAAATACTAAGATGGCAAGTGTAACTGCTGGGAAGCAATTTGGGCTGTACCAGACCAGGGATGTATCATTTGTGGGTCTGTGATCTCCCAAAGCTCTGTGCAATTCCTGTCCCACCAACACACTACCTGTGCACTTGTTCACTCTTCTTTTCTGTGCTGTGAGTTCCTTAAGGTAGGTGTGTATTTGATTCATTTTATAACATCCACAAAGTATGCATTGAATTAATTCAGTACTAAAGAAACATAATAACAGCAGCTTCCAATTCTTAAGTGTTTATTACATGCCAGGCACATCCTCAGAACAATGCAGAAAGGTAGATATATATCGCCTGACCTTTCTAGATAAGGAACTGAAGTTCAGAGAGGCCAAGGAAGGTCATAGCTAGAAGTGGCAGAGCCAGAGCTCAACTCTATTGTGTCTGGCTCTGAAATCTATGCTGTACCTGACTTACTACACCAGGAAACATAGTGGGAACCTTCAACAATAAGTTATGTATGGTTTATGCATGGGTATGGAGGTTAAAAAAAGAACTTGAACCCTATTGGGCCAGACAATAACCAAAACCTTTATGGAATGTTCCTTTTTTTTTTTTTTTTGCCAGATTCTAGGTAAGGGCTTGAGAGAAAAAAAGGTATGATCTCTGGCCTTGAGGAAGGGACTCTCAGGCTGCTACGTGAAGTAGTCACCCTATATTATACCCTGAAATAAATAATATAGATGAGGTAAAAAAAAAAAAAAAGTGGAACGGAAATAGGCTGCCTAGTGGGGAGAGCTTCAGAGAAGAGGTGGATGAGCAGGAATTCGACACCTCCACTTAGGGTCTAATCTGCTTGTATGGGCCCAGTGGATGCTTTGCTGGAAAGCCCAAAGGCATCTGTTTTAGTAGGCAACACCCACCAGGTTAGCAGATCTATTTAACCTCCTTGAATCTGTTACTTTTTCTGAACTGATTTATAGTCTCATCTTGCACGTTAATATGATTAACTCTGTGTGAAATTTCAATCATGAAGGGAAGCATTTCCATAGCTGTATTCACGTTGCCTATTGTAAACTCTGAAACATACCCTTAATTTTAAGTTTCTGTAATTAGGTAGGAAAATTAGTTTTTAATCCATTTTTCCTTTGTTGTTTCAAATTGAATAAACACATATTTTTGGTTTAACCTCAAAATCTTTCTTCACTCTTGATCATTTTAACACCTTCCGTTGACACCTCGTCTAGTCTCATTATTTTTCTTTGAGTATGACCAGCCAAACTACAGAACACATTCTTAGTCTGACAGATATATGTAATTGATGTGTGATTCAATACCAAACCCACTTCAAAGTACCATAATTTTTCCAATTCATTATAAAATGTAAATTAACAAAGACATTTACGGGGCTTTTCTATTACTATTTGTTTTAAACACTGAGGCAGTAAAAATAATATGACACAACACGCATACACAGGCTCTTAAGGTGCTACTAGTATTTATTTTGTTGATCAGTACTGTCATCTCTGAAAGACTTCGTCACTTTTCTCAAAAACTGAAAAGGATTTTTTTTTTTTTATATAAGACCACTGTATAAACTTGTAACTACCTTGACCAACATCAATAACTAAATATTATGAGTTCACCTCAGAAGGCAATTTATTTAATGGCAGGACTATAGGCATCCTATTCATGTTTGTATTCCAGGCTGTACTTTAAGAGTGTTTTGTACAAAAAGACACAATAAAACGTGTTCAATTAAAATGATTTTCCCTGAGCAGATGCTGAAGAATTGAAAATAAAGTATTATTATGAAATCAAAGAAAACAGTTAATTTCATGGCAGTTTCCCTAAAATCATAATGAAAATTATTTTAATACTTCTATTTGTATAACAGTTTATAATTTCCAAAGTGCTTCTACATTGATTGCCTTATGTGATTTTACAATAACTCCATCAGCAAGTATTTTTATATTTGAAAAATTGGAGGCTCAGCAGGGTTAAATTAACCTGGGGCCACAGCACTGAGCAGAAGAGTGAGTTCTAGAATCCAGGT